CCGCGGCGCCGGGCTCGCAGTCGTCGTTGGCCTCTGTGGGTCGTCCGTCGTCGTTGCCACCGTGGCTGTCGTCGTCGTCGCGGTCGCCGTCGTTTGGAGGAGGAGGAGGAGGAGGAGGAAGAGGAGGAGGAGGAGGAGGCGGAGGAGGAGGCGGAGGAGGAAGACGAAGAAGAGGAGGAGGAGGAGGAGGAGGAGGAGGAGGACGAGGAGGAGCGGGACGTGCTGCGCAGAGGCCCGTCAGTGCGTCACTACTTCCCCCAGGCACCAAGTTTGCCCACAACCGCGGCGGTTTGCCCAGGCGAATGCTGCGTCGTCTCCTCCTCCTCCTCCTCCTCCAACTCCTCCTCATCCTCCTCCTCCTCCTCTTCCTCCTCCTCCTCCTCCTCCTCCTCCTGCTCCTCCTCCTTCTCCTCCTCCTCCTCCTCCTCCTCCTTTTCCTCCTCTTCCTCCTCCTCCTCCTCCTTCTCCTCCTCCTCCTCCTCCTCATCATCATCATCATCCGCCTCCTCCTCTTCATCCTCCTCATCCTCCTCATCCGTTTCTGGTTTGCCTGCCGCATGCCGCCCTGTCCTGGTCTGGAAAGTCTCCCTCCCTACTGAGAGGTCCCCCAAAAAACGAAGAGGACGAGGCTCCCGCCTGAGAGGTCCCAAAAAAAGGCACAACGGACGAGGTCACCGCTTGAGGGGTCAAAAAAGACGAAAAGTAAGAGGCCCCCGCCTGAGAGGTCAAAAAAAACCTGAAGAGGAAGAGGATCCCGCATGAGAGGTCAAAAGAAACATAACGATGGCTCCCGCATGGAGAGGTCCAAAAAAAAACCCAAGAGGAAGGTCTCGCATCCTGATAACTGTGCAAAACACCAAAAAAGACAACAAAAAAACAAAAACCATAAAAAAACATCTATATATATATATATATATATATATATATATATATATATATATATATATATGTAAAACCAAAGGAGAATGCCACCCTCTCCAAAAGGGCTGGGGCAGTGGGGATGGAGCAGCGGTGATGGTTGTCCTCTGGAGTATTGTTAATTTTTGTTGCTTGGGACAGTTACAAGGATGCGAGACCTTCCTCGTGGGTTTCTTTGGGTTTGTTGGGGATCTCTCAGGCGGGAGCCTGATGTTGATGATTTCTGTTACCTCCCAGGCGGGATCCTCATCCTCCTCCGGTTATGTGGGGCCTCTCAGGCGGGAGCCTCTTCTTCGCCATTTTTGGGACCTCTCAGGCGGTAACCTCTTCCTCCTCAGTTTTTTGGGGACCTCTCAAGCGGTGGCCTCATCCACTGCACCTTTTTGTTTTGATGTTTACAGATGCGTTGCTTGGACGGCATTAGAGGCGGAGGAGGAGAAAAGGAATGAGCAGAAGCAGGAGGGGGATGAGGAAACGGAGGAGGAAGGGCAGGACAGGGAGGAGGAGGAGGAGGACGAAGAAGAAGGAGATGAAGAAGAGGGAGAGGGAGATAAAAAATGAGGGAGAAAAAACAGGAGGGAGGAGGGACGAGAGACGAGGAGGAGGAGGATGATGAGGAGGAGTAGGAGGGAACGGAGCAGGGCGTCGTCGCGTCGTTGCAGCCGCTGCCGCCGTCGCCGTCGGAAGCGCAATGCTTCTTCCTTGTCGGAAGCGCAATGCTTCCTCCTCGTCGGAAATGCAATGCTTCCTCCTTGTCGGAAGTGTAATGCTTCCTCCTCGTCGGAAGTGCAATGCTTCCTCCTCGTCGGAAGTACAATGCTTCCTCCTCGTCGGAAGTGCAATGCTTCCTCCTCGTTGGAAGTGCAATGCTTCCTCCTCGTCGGAAGTGTAAGACTTCCTCCTCGTTGGAAGTACAATGCTTCCTCCTCGTCGGAAGTGCAATACTTCCTCCTCGTCGGAAGCGCAACGTTTCCTCCTCGTTGGAAGCGCAATGTTTCTATTGTTTCCGAAGCGCAGTGCTTCCTCCTCGTCGGAAGCGCAATTCTTCCACCACGTCGAGAGCCCAGGGCTTCCATCCCATCTCAAGCACACTGCCTCCTCCTTGTACGGAGCTGGTTGTTCACTCTCCACGCGCAGGTAGGTCATTCGAGCCTCCTGCTAGCGGATGGAGAGCGGCACTCCTTCAACACGCAAGCATCGCCTCAGCGCAGCGCACGGCTGATTCGACTGGGACCATTTGTGAGAATGAGCACGGATATTGACCAACGAATAGGAGACGTTGGACGGGAGGGTGTATGCAACACCACTGATGAAAGTCGAATTCCCTCTGGTCACACTTCTCCTCCTATTCTTCCTCCTTTTCCTCCTCATCCTCTTCCTCCTCCTACACTTCCTCCTCCTCTTCCTACTACTTCTTCTCGTTCTCCTTCTCCTCCTCCTCCTCCTTCTCCTCCTGCCCCCCCGACCCCCTCCTCCTCCTCACCTTCTCGTTCTCTCTCTCTTTCTCTCTCTCTCTCTCTCCCTATCTCGCTGTCGACCTCTATCCTCCATGTCTCTTTCTCTCTCTCTCTCTCTCTATCTCTATCGCTCGCCCCTCGTCCGCGCGCCCTTTTATTATTACTTTCGTTTCCATCTTCTGTTCGCTTGCATTGCCGTTCCTTCGTAGCTAGCGTCGGGCCCAAGACGTTTCTCCCACGCAAGACTGCTTCCACCCAGCCACTCGTGGCGACGTTGACTCTCGCCCGCTACGCCGCCAAGGGCCAGCACCCAACAAAAGCAAGTACGGACGTGGAGAACGCAGACATGACGGCGCACGGTCTCCATTTCGCCGTCTTCTGCGACGGCGTCTCAGGTGTTCCTCCTCCATTTAAGGCAGAGGACCTTGCGCGGGACATGCGCGACTGATCGCGCGTGTTCCTGTCCAGGCCCCCAGGAAGGCCCGAAAGGGCAAAAAACAATGAGTTCCGAAAGATTTTTGAAGGATTTGGGCATTCTCTTCTTATCAGCTCTCCGACGTCCCAAGAGCGCCCAAGAGGCCCCCAACATCGTCCCAAGAGCGCCCAAGAGGCCTCCAAGATGGCGCCATGACAGCCCAAGAGGCCCCCAAGAGGGCCCCAAGAAGAGCCCAAGACGGCCCAAAACGGCCCCGAAGACGCCGAAGATGGCCTCCAAGACGGCCAAAATGGCCTCCAACATGCCTCCAAGACGGCCAAGAAGGCCTCCAAGACAGCGAAGATGGCCTCAAGATGCACCCAAGACGGCCCCAGATGGCCTCATGATGGTTTTAGACTGCCCAAAAGGCCCGCCAGAGGCCTCCAAGACGGCCCAAGAGCCCTCCAAAACGTCCACCAGGAAGGCCCGAAAGCTCGGAAACCACCTGGTCCGATAGCTCGCCCGACTCCGTGTTCCCCGAAGGCTTTCGAAACCCACTCGGGGAGCGCGTGGCCCGATAGCTTGACCAAGCTCAAGCCCAACTCTCGGCCACGCAGGCGCTTCCAAAAAGGCAGGGGGCGGCCGCGATGCGCAGTAGGCGTCTTCGATATGGAAACGGCTCTGGGCGCTCAGGTGGGCCCCAAGAGACCTCTGACCTGCAACCAGTTCACGGTGGCAGGATGGGCCGAAGGCCACCACCCGATGTGGAAATGGCTCTGGGCGCTTTCGGCTCGACGCCAGCGTTAGGTCGGGCCTGTCCCCATACAGGCCGATGTTCGACGAAAAATGAAAAAATACCAACAACAAAAAACTCGAAGATGCTCAAAAATTGTCAAAAAAACGTCCCCAGACTATTTTTGTACTATCTTTGGATATTCCTCCTGTAGAGGGGCAGGCCAGACTTAACGCCAGCGACACTGTGTCTGAAGACGGAGCTCGCCCGCGAGCGCGAGCCTGGGCCCCGACGCCGGCCCGCGAGCCCGATGCCTCCTCACCAAGTACTCCGAGGCGCCCTGGCCATGGAGGCCCCCAAAAAACGCAGGGATGGCGCTCCTCCTCCTCCCTCCTCCCTCCTCCCTCCTCCTCCTCCTCCCTCCTCCCTCCTCCCTCCTCCCTCCTCC